GATTAGAATTAGTCATAGTTAGGATCTATAAATAGGGATGTTCCCCCATTGTTTTAAAGGACGAGAATTGATGAAATAGAAAAGGAACGTTTGTTCAATCATGCAACCGAATTGGTGAGACTAAGACCCAAGCCAGTTCAACGATTTAGAGAGGCTAAGACCCGATCTATTTCGAGAGTGTAGCGAGGCTAATACCTGAGTGAACTCAAGTATCGTGAGCGAGTTAGGCTAATAACCGAGTCGATCACACCTATCGTCGAGAGCAAGGCCGTGGCGAAGCCGTGATCGAGACAAGTCGAGGGAACGCAACACCCGAACCGTCATCATTGGTGCTTTCATTGAGAGTGATCGATTGGGTGTTCGTGAACTTTTTCTATCCCATTCTTTTTTTTTGGTTCAATTTTTTTTAGTCTTTGTGTTCGAATTTTTTTGAATTTTATCCCTAATTTTCGAAAAATTTCGTGAGTCATAAAAAAAAAAAGTGTCATCTAGTCTTTTGTTTGATTTTTTTTCGGTTGTTACCTTTTGTTGAAGGGGCCGAATTTCTTTTGTTTTTCTTTTATTTTTGGTTCGACTTTGTTCGAATATTTTTTAGAGTCTTAAAAAAAATATGAAGAGAGTCATGTTGATGTTTGAGCCATTGGACGAGATGGATCTCGAGGATCTTGAATATCTCGAAGGTTTGGAGAGGGAATTAACCCCTTGGGAGCAAGAGTATTTGGAGGAATTGCACGAGCGAAGAGATCTAGAAGAGAAGCAACTCAAGATCATGGAGGGGTTCGTCGACGAAGAGGCCATGTTTACGTTCGATCTACCAGGATATGTTGAAGATGAGGTCACCGAGTTCATGGTCGAGCGAGTCGGGTGCAAGGATTCACCTTCATTCGGTGTCGTGTCCATGGACGTTGGGGAACACGAGGTAGCTGAGGTCGACATCGAGACTCTGGTCGAATTCGAAGAAGATAAGGTGGTCGAGGTTAATCATGAGGAGGAGATCTTTCTTGTGGTCGAAGAGGGCTTCGGCGAGGAGACGCACGTGGAAGACGTGGAGATCAATGGTGGTAGAGATGTCGAGGTCGATGAGGACCATGAGCGGTATGTGAAAGTCGTCGAAGAACGAGTGCCCGATGTTTGGATGGTCGAGGACCAGTCCTTGAGGACAATGACAATCTCAAAGGGGGCGGGAATGATGCGGAAGTGGGTTTCGAGCCCCGACGACGAGAAGGTCCACAAGCCGAGACGACCCGAGGAGGCTGAAAATATGGCCAAAATAATGCACGCAT